TTCTTGTCCTTATGTTACCTTAGTAGTATCATTTACACTTGGGATAGGGAATCTGGGAACAGAAGAAAGTGTCTATCCTGGAGCAGTGTCAAATTATGAACCTTGAACCCTAAAAAGAATCCTTGCATGGTGTAACATATACAAATCTATGTATGTTACCATCTTATTTGCCATCTGAACTGTCTCACTTTGTCCATTCTAGGTCCCACATTTTACAAACACCCCTCTTAAGCAATATTCTACTGCCACATAGAATTACATCACCATAAATCCCAGAGTTGAAGGAGACATTTCGGCCAATGAATTCCACCTCCTGCCCCCACTTTGGTGCAAGAACCCAAAATAAGTCTCCCAAAGAGATGCAACGTAGTCTCCACATAAATACAATCAGTCATGAGGAGACAACCTTCTTAAATACTGATAATCAGGGGAGATATGGGGACACAACATCGAATGCATCATAACCTCATACAACATATGACACAATTATGTCCTGGAGATCATTGGATGATAACAACATAATGCACAGTCCATGATTTTGGTGACTTTGAAATGACGAGCAAAATGCTGGCTGGGGAATTCTTGGAGTTGGCCAAGTTTCAAAACTTCTGATTCCCTGAATTATCTTGCCCCTCCCTGCCACACTGAATGGGATTTCAAATTTGTGAGTCCTGAGGATACCCCAGTGAATGTCTTCACCTTGAATTCTAAGGAAAAATGAATGTGGAAAAAGGGGAAGTGGGAAGAAAATCATTCTTGGACATCATCTCCAGTCAGTTCCTTCACTCTTTTTCTGAGACTTTGAAAAGTGTTTATAATGGTCTGTGGGAATGACATTGGGAGACAAGTGGAAGAGATGTTGCCTTGAAAGCAATCAGATAAAAGGGGGAGGAGCCTGCTTCTGAATAATGGTCAAAGAAATAAAGTTTAAAAAGTCCTCCCAAATGTATCAGTATGTAAAGAAGGCCTTACAATAAATTAGAATTATCTCATCTAGACATTGTCTGGTTGTTTCTGTTGTGAATACTATAGTCGTTCCGGTGCTAAATCCTTTCATTTACACCATTAGGAACCATGAAGTGGTAGAAGCAGTTTGGAAAGCATTAAGAAAAAAGACTCCAGCTTCCCCCAAACTCTAAACAGAGACCGGTGTGAAGAAGCAATTCAATGCCCGAAATTGAGGAGCAGGAGGAGTAACCATCAGAGATATTGTACCATTATTTTAGCTTGCCTAGATCAAAAGGATGGAAGAAGAAGGGGGTCAACGTTCATAACCCAGTGTTTGAAACTGTGATGCTAGCATCCATTGCTCAGTCAAGGCTGGATCTCAGGGAGGGTTTATAATGGAATGACAGCTTTTAAATGTTCTTCATTGCTTATGAAAATATATCAAATTTCTCATTAATCTATACTGGCAGGAATATTGATCTACTCTGTGCATCCCTTTCTTTCAAACATTGACCTATGGGACCTTTGTCTTCCTAGTGTAGTTTATTGAAGGAACGTCATTGGAGTCACAGGAAAAATCATAATATGATGTTTGGAAAAATGCAAGAGATGAGTTTCAGTGCTTTCAATGTTTTAGAATACCTTTTAGATTTGATCTGTCACTAAAGGATCATGACTTTGTATGAAAAGTGATTTTCTAAGGCATTTGGTAGTCTTCATCTTTCATGGTAAGAAACATGGGGCTTCAAGGTCTGTTGATTTTGAGGATGGTAGGGAAGAAAGAGTGGTTTCTCAGAAATGATTGAGAGAAGTTGGCAACTCCCAAAATTCCACACATTTTCTGAGTAGAGCTAGCTCAAGTTGAAGATCCATGGCTGCATATGTCATTAATACTTTTTAACATGTATCAATATTTCTATTTGATAGAAATCCCCCTGCCTTTTATTATTTTTTTTAATCTTTGCATTTATATCAACCTTCCCAATCTGGTGCTATCCCTAAAGCATAGGCCTGTGACTTCCCTCACTTTATGCCAACATGGGCAAATAGTTCTGGAAACACCTTCTTATAATAAACATTTAATTTGGTTTCCCCAGCTTGGCTTCTCTCATTTTTGGGTTGGGTGAATACATACCATTTGGGAAATTAAGTTTATAAGAATGCATTGACTTTGTATCATGATGTGTTTTCAATAAAGTCTGTTTTCTAAGCCTTTTCCTTGGATGGGACTTCTTGGAAGACCTGTACGCTAAACACGTGTGGTATAGTGGCTGAAGTGTTGGGCTAGGAATGGAGAGTCACAGGTTCA